TTTTTTTTTTTGTTAAAAAATGTGTATTGAGTTCAATTTGAAATTATTTATTCGGGACTTCACCAAAAAAATGTGTATTGAGTTCAATTTGAAATTATTTATTCGGGACTTCACCAAACCGGGCTCATTAAACAAATAGCCTTACTGAGAATATTGGCCAAAATCACCGTAGAGATTTATTTTTAACAAAAAAATATGCCAATTCACCATATTTTTTTAATATGTTATCCAACCCAATTTAACAACTGTTTATAAAGCAATTATTTGTTCGACAGATAATTTTGACCAAAATATTTATATTTGATAACAATTATAACAAATTCGGCACACATTTTATTATTACATATTTGTTTGAGGGTACCGTTCAAGTTTCAGCGGAGACCATTTTCTATCATGGTCTCCTATGCTATGACGATCAACAAGAGTCAACACCAGTCTCTCTCACACGTCGGCTTAGTCTTGACGAACCATGTTTTCAGTCATGGACAATTGTACATAGCTCTTTCTAGAGTCACGAATCGGAAGAGTTTGGAGATAATAATAATGTGTTGATGGTGATTCGATATGTAACCATGAATGTTGTATATAAAGAAGCGTTCAATAATATTTAGAATTATTTTTTCTATATTTTTTTCATGAATAAAATTATGATTATGTATTTTTTTATATTGTTTGTTTTTTTTTACATATTCTCCTCCGTGCAAATGCACGGGATGAATACTAGTTTTTTTATTATATCCTACTCTTTCATTTAATGAAAAAGAATGGGTGTTGTAATTTGAAAGATTTATTTTTGACAACAAGTTCAATTTTCAATATACTGAAGATATAAATTTAAGGGAAGATCTTCGTTTATGTACTAGTGCAGTACCCGTGGGATGTACGGGCTAGTTTTATTGAGGTCAACATTTAGATTTGGATGATTGAATGATTGGAATAACGTAAAACGCATATATTGGAATAAACAAAATGTAACTTATATATTACTAAACACATCCTTGTACACAATATTATTTGTTTGGTCTTTTGGTACATCGTCCATCACCATAAATTATATTAGGATGCGAGATAGACTTAAATAAATCAGTAAATTATTTAGCATCATATATATGATATTTTGTAATTGTGTGCAATCATTATTTATTTTGTACTGGTATGCAATCAATTTCATCTAGAGGATTAAAAAAAACTCAAATTTTTAGGTTGTTCCAATCCGATTTAATTTTGAATTGAAAATTAATAGTATCTGACTCTATTTTATGTTTAAAAAAAATTTGAACTAAAGAAAGTAATAACCAAATGATAAGATATTTTTAAGTTTTAATTTTCAATTTGAAATTGGGCACGAATTCTAGGCAATTCGACTTTTTTTTTTTAATAAACATGATTTTTTGTAATTAGGTAAAC